ATGATTTTCCAATGAGCATTGGTGGGGAGAGAGAGGATTTAAACCTTTATTTTTGACACAGTTCTGTTATTTATTGTCATACATATTTTATATTGTATCAGTTATTTTTCTAGTTTAAAAGGCAAATGCAGAAGATACAATGCAGTACAGTAATGTACATCACTCTGTATTATGGAATAATTAATATTGGAGCCGGTTTTCCTTAAAAATCTATACAATGAGGGAGCAATATTGTATGATTGACACATTTTCTGAAATGGACTGAAAAATTACAGACACAACCTTAAACATCAAATTTAAATTTCAGGATTTTATAAAATCAAAGCAAGGTTCAGAAATGTATTCACAACTTTTCTCACCAGTATCAATCTCTTCATTCTCCCCTGTCCTTGACTCCAGTCAAAAAAAGCAAAATTTCAATAATTTCTGCACTTTCCTCCAGAACTCAGAAAACTGTCTCACAACATCTCAGTTGATGTTGAACCTCAGCACTGAGCTTCAATGTGACATTATACACTAGACTATGGACAGCATATGGGGCAAGGACGATTCCCTATTGTCCCACCAGGCTGTCCAAACTTTCATTCATTTCCTTCCAGTAAATCTTTCTTGCATAAAAGGTGAGCCACAAAAGTGAACCCACCTGAAAATTACAATATCTGAGCTACAACAATGACAAAAAAACTAATGAAAGCTTCTTCAATTTATTTTTAGATGATGTGTACTTTGAAGCATGAATCATACACTTTCAAAATAATGTTCAAATGTAAAGGGATGAAAGTCAAATTGTTTAAACTGGACATAAATAGCTGTAGCAGTAGTGTGAAAATTTTCCATCATTAGGAAAAAAAATTAATAATGGGTATCTTTGTGAAGATGTACAGGTGGACTCTTTCTAAAAAAAAATTCAAAGGACCAGAAAAAACTGTGTTTTAGTGAACACATATATGATATAACATATACAGTATGTGGGGACAACCACACAGGACCAAAGAAAAATGTATTATAATGTACAGTACCAAGAAAATTGTTTTTAGACAAGATCATTGTAGACAGAGTCCACCTGTATTAGTATATGAGTATNACAATCCTGTGAATTGTCTTCAAATCAAGCCTGGTCTGAGTCCAGTCAGACTGTTGAGGCGATAGCGGTTATAATTGGGGTCATCGAAGCCATACCGACTGTCATAACGGTTGTAGTCATAGTTGTAGTCATCCTGGTGTGGGATCCCAAAGGCGTGAAGGATCCTGTGGACCACACTTCCCTGGTAGCCACCATAGTGACCTCGGTAGTCGCCGGTGTAGCGGCCATAGGGGGCGTAGGAGCCATATTGTGGTGCTGACAGGGCTGCAGCCAAAATGGATGCCAGTATTGTCTGTTTTTTCAGTTCAAAGAGAAAAAGATTAGTAAAATATGCAGTCAACTTTTGATTAACATGCAGACTTTGAGATTTTCTCTGTTGAACATACCAAAATTTGGGTAATAATGCAGTACTGAATAATTTTATGGCAAAAAGGCACTGAAATGCAATTGCCTGATGCCTCTTTCCTCTTTGATATTACTCCTATGTTTCCAGCCCATTTTTTTGCTTTTGTATCAGTTCACACAGTACAGTATCATGAACTTAAATGCATTTGTCTCAGTAGAAATGCATTTTCTGTTTTTTCTGCAGTGAACTGTGACCACTTGTCTTTTACTGTGCCTCTGAGTCACTCAGCAGCAGCTGTTTACTGCAAAAGGCTAGAGATTCCTTTATTTTTGCTAATTTATTTGCTGCAGATTTAAAAAAAAATTAACAGCTTATGCATGCAGAAAAGCCCAAAGTTAAAGTATGGGTCATGACATGGAAATTTAGCATCAGCAAATTCAATGTGGTGACTTTAAAATTGAAAAATGTGTAGTTTTTTCTATAAGTATATAGGGAGTGGAGGTAGTCAGCAAATTTCCCATTTACATCTGTGATTTAGTTGGCAGGAGTAGAATTCACTCAATTTCATTGAAGTGGAAAGGAAAATCATGTTTCTAAACAAATTCCTCTCTTGTATATGGATTAGGTTGGTTAACAAATGGTCAAGGGTACCACTGTACAGCATGAATACCATCAATTTCTTAAAGATTAAAACACTGCTGAAATCCTTCTGCTGTCTTTCTGAAATTTATAAAAAATTTCATAGATTCAACATCTTTAGTAGATTATAATATGCATTTTTCAAAAAAGTCATCTCAATACATAACACTTGAATGTGGGAATTTTATTGTTGTGGGGTCACAATTGATTCATTTTCTACATTTTTTCAACAATTTAGTCTGCAGATCATACACAAGCTGGGGAGCACGATTTTTAGTGAAAGATTGTGCATAAAAAAATCATATTTTCTAGAATTATACACATTCTACCATAATTTAAATCCAATTTAATGCATATTTCTAATAAATCATTTAAGCCTGGTAACCCTATTTACTACTTATACTATGAATATATAATAATGAACTCAGAGGCATTTAAAATCTCAGTCCATTTGTTTAGGGTTTGTAAATTCTCATTCATGCAGGGTTTGATTCAATATATGTAGTTGTAAAACTGTCTTTAATAAAATATACGTAGTACATTAATGATTTTCCAATGAGCATTGGTGGGGAGAGAGAGGATTTAAACCTTTATTTTTGACACAGTTCTGTTATTTATTGTCATACATATTTTATATTGTATCAGTTATTTTTCTAGTTTAAAAGGCAAATGCAGAAGATACAATGCAGTACAGTAATGTACATCACTCTGTATTATGGAATAATTAATATTGGAGCCGGTTTTCCTTAAAAATCTATACAATGAGGGAGCAATATTGTATGATTGACACATTTTCTGAAATGGACTGAAAAATTACAGACACAACCTTAAACATCAAATTTAAATTTCAGGATTTTATAAAATCAAAGCAAGGTTCAGAAATGTATTCACAACTTTTCTCACCAGTATCAATCTCTTCATTCTCCCCTGTCCTTGACTCCAGTCAAAAAAAGCAAAATTTCAATAATTTCTGCACTTTCCTCCAGAACTCAGAAAACTGTCTCACAACATCTCAGTTGATGTTGAACCTCAGCACTGAGCTTCAATGTGACATTATACACTAGACTATGGACAGCATATGGGGCAAGGACGATTCCCTATTGTCCCACCAGGCTGTCCAAACTTTCATTCATTTCCTTCCAGTAAATCTTTCTTGCATAAAAGGTGAGCCACAAAAGTGAACCCACCTGAAAATTACAATATCTGAGCTACAACAATGACAAAAAAACTAATGAAAGCTTCTTCAATTTATTTTTAGATGATGTGTACTTTGAAGCATGAATCATACACTTTCAAAATAATGTTCAAATGTAAAGGGATGAAAGTCAAATTGTTTAAACTGGACATAAATAGCTGTAGCAGTAGTGTGAAAATTTTCCATCATTAGGAAAAAAAATTAATAATGGGTATCTTTGTGAAGATGTACAGGTGGACTCTTTCTAAAAAAAAATTCAAAGGACCAGAAAAAACTGTGTTTTAGTGAACACATATATGATATAACATATACAGTATGTGGGGACAACCACACAGGACCAAAGAAAAATGTATTATAATGTACAGTACCAAGAAAATTGTTTTTAGACAAGATCATTGTAGACAGAGTCCACCTGTATTAGTATATGAGTATCAACAGTGGTAGTGGTAGTGTGGTAGGGAAACACTTTTTCTCAA